TGATAAGAGACTGAAGTTTATTTTAAGTACCACACCAGGTGACTCTGGAATAATAGTACTATAAAAAATACTACAATATCTGTCTTTCCTTTAATTTTTCTTTTTTTTTTATCATTTTAAATGTGATTCTATAAATCAAGGACGTTGGTTCATGATGTCAACACTGATAGGGACCAAATCAGCCCAGAACCCTCCGCAACCCTAATCACACACGGCGCTCCCACGGCATAGGTAGGTGCGTGTCCCTGTCATCCATACCCAAATCCACACCCTTGCTATAAATCTTTCCTATTTTCATTTTATGTGCATCTATGTTCCTCACAAACCAGGACAAACAGTGGCCTTAGTTAACGTGGCTGAAAAATACAAATTGTACATGAAATATTTTGTTTCAGGAAATACAGCAAAACAATCCGATAAAATCTAAAACTGTGAAGGATGCAGTAAATCAACATGGCTGGCTAAAGAATCCCTCTGCTACAAACGGCATGGATTTGACATTTGGATCCGTGGTTAATGATCAGATACGGCAGGTCAGGGGCAGCCTGTGGGGGTGGAGGGGGGGGGATGATGAGGCCTGCAAAGGGTGGAGTCTTACTCACTCTCTCCGGTCATCACTCCTTGAGTGTACCTCTTTGGAAGCATCCCCATGTAGCCGTAAAAACTTGACTGCTGAACTGGAATGAAAAGAGGAGGAGATGGAGGAGCAGTAGCACAGGGTGGTGCGGAGAGAAGCTTGTTCACCGACTGAGCACCGGCTCCCAGGCACGGTTACCTGTGCATCCAAAGGCCACCACCCCCACCGCCACCAGGTTGATGACATAGGACTGCTTGTTGGTGAACTGCTCCAGCCAGACGTCACAGACACCCACAAACAGCAGCGGCCCAAGAGCAAACAGGTAGCCTGCAGGTAGGCGAGGGGAGGGGGGAGATTGCATTAACTTCACTCTGTCACCTGTGGAGACATGCTGAGATACCCCCGGGATTTGTCCCTGTGTCCCTCGTGTTTTAAAAGGCCATCTTAATTCACCCTGCTGAATTCAGGAGTGGCTATATTATCAAAAGCCTTTTGTTATTGCTTGGGAAAACACAAAGGGTTTTTTGTTCCAAACGCATCCTTTGATCTCATTAGAACTAAGGCTCTATCTCTGCTCTAATGGAACTGTCTTGGTCTGCCATGTGTGCGATTTGATGCTCTCTGCGCTGGTGAGAGTATTAATAACTCAGATATTCCATCAAGGCCATTGGATACAGCTGCTTTTGGGCTGTCGCGGCGATCCCCAGCCAAATGTTCTCTTAACTGCGGCTCACACACATAAGAAAAGCAGGTCTTCCATTTGTAGCTGATCCTGAGTTGTTTCGGAAGACAAAGGTCAGTCTGATAGTGATGGCTTCCCCCATGACAAACAGTATTAATGGAGTCCAATGGGTTCCTCAAGATCCCAAGACACAAGAAGGACTTGCCTAAGCTTGAATTCTTATACACTCTCTTTGATTCTCCTGAAAGCCCTCAAACATTAGGAAGCACATCTTCTCTGATATGACCCACTTCCTTATGATACCCATAAATAAACTCATAGAGTTGACAAAATTGTCAACCAAACAACTACTTGCTGGTATCATTGCAGCAAAGAAGCGTTCAGACTATTGTTCCAATGGCACGTGATATTGGGGATGGTCTCCTATCACTCACCCACAGTGATCCGGGTGTGTAGACCCAAAGTCTCCACCAAGGCATTGTTCAGGACCACTGCCAACAAGGCCACCAGGATGTATGTCAGACTCATGTCAAACACAATAGACGTTCCTGAAGGACCAGCAGAAGGACAAGAAGAGAGATCACAACACAGCCCATCACTAGTTCCTCATCAACTGTACACTTTTCACAATACATTTCAGAAAATCCCTCACCCCCTCCCACCCTAATGCCGTCAGCCTCCTGGCCCACAGGGGATGATGCATACCTTGGAATTTGTGATGCAGGTAGTCCACGTCAGTGATGAAGCTGTTGTAAGGCAGCAGGAATCCAACTCCGGCTAGCAGCATAGCAAAGTATATCCCATGGTACCGGTCATCTGGTGTAGGCTCCTCGAAGACTTACCATGGTAAATCAGAGGGAGGAGCATGTCAGGAGCATCCCTCGCTGGCATGAGGAGGGGGACGTATTACTTGTCCTCTTGGAGACCCTTTAAGAGTTAGAACCGTCTCCTGCTCTGTGCAGGATTATAGGCGTGCGTAGACTGCATCTATAGCGACCGCAGCCACTTCACGCATATCCCATAGTACCACTTATGGGTTAGGGGTTTTCTTTAAGCCAGCTCACCCCCACCCCCCCATCCCTATTCCACTGCATCGTAGAGTCTCAGCCTTGGAGCCCAGTGCTAGCAGCCATTCACGACAGCCTCAAAAAGCAGGGTATGCTTACTCCTAATCACTTGACTAGGTCTCCTTTGGTAATGGCTCTGGTCCATTAGGGCGCTTGTTCCATGTTAAAAACCCAAAGGAAACCCACGGTGGCTCCTTCGATACAATGATCGCAGGGCTCCGACAAGCAGCCAAGCCTCCGTATTTGAAGCCCCAAAGCAATGGCAGGCGAGAGTGTATCCCTGATTTATTCTGATCCTGGAGGATGAGTCTGGGACTGACTGCTGGCGCATGGGGGACTCAGAGAGCAGATGCAGATAGAGGATCAGCTTTCTCCAAAAGCCGAGACAAATTACCATACAAATGGCTCCATATCTTACAGAGGCCGATGGTACTGGGGTAAATTGATCTTCTGGGGCACATTCAGTCCACAGGGCAGCCCCACCCTGACCCCCAGGCCGTGACAATGATGGCGGTGTCTTACCCGGCTCTGCAAAGGTAAGGATCCCTCTGTCGGGAACGTCTTTGGCTTGGAAGTCCTCGTCCTCCAGCTGGTAGCTCTCGAAGCTGAAGCTCATCACTACATTTCCCTCCGGCGTGGTGATGGGTGTGGCTTGCCGGCGCCTCTCCGTGCCATTCGACGCCATTCTGAACCCGGCCCGGCCCCCCCTGTCGCCCAGCTCAGCCGTGGCTTGTTCCTGGGATGTTAATATGAGAGTTCCTCCTCCCTCCTGGGGGAGCGGGGGGTGCCAAGAGTGACTTTAATCCTAATGAACGTTTATTTTTGGTTTTTATTACTGTTAAAAAAAATACTACATTTCAAACCACACTTTTTAAATATGCCAGATTAATCCTATCCTAAATAATCCAATTAATATTTATAATTTAAAAATTATTTATACTAAATGTTTAACATTGAAGTCTTAGATAAAACTCTGACTAAAATATTTAAAACTTTAAATAATGCATTCTTATGCAGCAGATGTTTCAGATGAGTTTCACTTCATTTCAGGCAGATTGCCGGAACGGAGTCAGAGTCAAGGCGAGGCTGGGATCGGGAAGGTCTGGCGCATACGTTTGGAGGGACCGATGGCTCCATCATGATCCCACACTATGAGAAACTATGAGAACAGGATTTTAAAGAGGTGATAGACTAGGCAGAAGGTGGTGCCTTTGATTTGCAAGGTGCCCAGCTGGCAAGGGGGGGGAGCGGGGGGGGGGGGGGGGGGGGGGGGGGGGGGGGTTGATGACGTCTGGCAGGACAGGACTGCCCCGCACCACCGAGGTCTGCTCCGCATGCAGAATATGCCAGGAGGCCTGCCAGGGGTGCCCGCCAGCGGCACAGTGGGTCGCGCCAAGTCAGCTCCTTCCAGCCTGCATTTCATTTGCTTCCTTTGATAATGTGTGCTTCATTATGGTAAATGTAAAAATGCACTGGGCCAAAATGCGATCGATACTGAACGGAGGGGAAACTGCAGCGTGCACATTACTGCCACATCCCATTACACTGCACTGTACCACCTCCACCGCAGGCACAGGGGGCATCATCTGTAACACAGGCTGGCAAACCGGCTGAATATTTACATATATTTTACATGGCTTAACAAATATACTTCTTGGGCTCTATATATAGTCCAGTTTCATAAGACACACATTTTTGATTTTGCAGAACAGGCACTTATACACACAAAAAAAAAACAAAACAGGAATGATTTTGAATGGACTCGAAAGACCTTGAAGGAGAGGATTCCCCTTGAGGGTCCTGCGTTCTGCGTGACCGCGGCTCTGAAAGCGGGCCACCCTCTCGCCAGCGCCTCGCCTCGCCTTCCCGACTTCAGCACCAGTGAGACCCCCGGGCTCTGCAGGCACAAAGCACTTCCTGCTTTCTCTGGTTTCTCTTATTTGCCTCCAATTTTTCTTGTGTTTCTCTTTTATTTTTTAATGTGTGGGAAAAACCTCACACTGCTGCCGCATTGCTAGTCGTCCCACTTTTCCGATAAAACTATTTTTGTTTCCCTGTTTGTTTTGTGTTTCAAATTGGATTTCCGGGACCCAGCTATTGAAAAAGCACACAGCGACTCTGCCATCACCTCTTTGATAAATTGCCTGAGCTTCACTTTTCTGACTGCCTTCTCAATATTTAACTGCGACACAGGCAGGCGGCTGCAGAGGCAAGACCAGCTGCTGGCTTGCTGCACTGTGGTGTCGAGCAGATCCCTGATAACAGATCACACCGCAGATGAGGACCTGGGTCTTCTGGACCCTGCTTTAGGCCCGAGCACCTCAGCCTTGAATAGCCGGCCACTTCCTCTCTTTCGATTTGGCAAAATATAGGAATGCAAAGTCACGACAGGCCACCAAGCTCCCAAACAGCTGCCTAATTGTTGTTGTACCAGTGCTTGCTCTCCTTCACTCTTACTCATTATTGAGTCTTGCTGCTATGGCAAGGTACCAGGATGTGTTGCATTTAACATTGTTACTGTATGTTCACACTGGGGATGCCAAAAAAAAAAAAAACACAATGAAAGGCGCAATGCTTTGCACTGTGTTTTTTTCTCTCCATATTTTCATCTCCTGTTTGTCCATGTTCTTGTGTGTCTTTACACGGTTTCAATGCTGCGTTGTATTAGCCGTTTCTAAGAATGTATATGATTGCCCCGAGTGTTTATGGGAAAAAAGAGGGAATAAAAAAACATGCATACAAACACTTTGGAATGCATCTGTATTCATTTTCGATGTGTGCAGAAATGTGGGCAGCAGTGCGTTTTCAAAATGCACTGCAACGCAGTGCACTAGTGGGGACATCATACATAGCTTTCTATGCAATGTATGATGTTCTGGCGAATCGCAGAACGTGCGTGTTGATGAAAAGTGCAACTTAACGCACATAGTAGGAACGAGCCCTTACTGTGCCCTGGTCAAGCTTTTTATGGAAGTCTCCTAGTAACAATCGCTAGTGCTCCATCAAGTTAGACCCTAACACTGCCCCCTTGAGGGCAGGGACTCTAGACCCAGTTGCCCAGGAAACAGACCAGAGAAGGTTTTATCTGAATGGACTTATACTGTTTGTCAGGACTAAAACTAAACAGGCCGTAATTAAAACCACAGTAATTAGCTCACTAGAAATAACCCTGCTCAATTAAAGTCATGTATGGAAGTTGGCATCCAAGGTGGTCTATATGATACAATCTATGAATATATGAATACATATAACACACATATATGTGATATAAAACGACAAGCCTGTAGTTCTTATTTATTCATAAGATCTAGAAATTGCGTCCAGCTGGAGGGTGTGAAATTTTCAGACACATAGGCGGTCCCAATTAATTTTTCAGCGGACAGCAAGACGTCTGGCGTTAGATGTGAAAACCTCCGGCCGTAGAACGACCCCAACTTCCTTTCCCTCTCAGTTTTATTTGGCAGGATCAAAAACGCACCAACCAAAGGACACCAGAGCCAGGCTTGGGAGTCGCTATGAAAGCCTTTTGTCGTCGCTTTTGCTTTTTATTTACGGATGGGGGATGTCGAGAGCGGCGCTTTCAGAAAGACATGCCACTCTTTCATGGTGCATAATGTACCGCACGCTGAAGGCGATTTTGAGATGGCTGGAAGTCTGCGATGTATTTTTTCCCCCCCAAATGCAGGGAACCAAGCGTAAAAAAACACCTGCAACAGGCGCATATGGTAACCGAATAGCTCACTGACTGGGGCGCAGATCCATGGACCCTGCATATGGTCACTTCATTAAAACGCAAAACAACTGTATGCCTTGTCATCCTTTCACGTATTCGTATACGTAGACTGAAAATCCGACTTTTTAATGCATTCCAACTGATGCTCGCCCCGCAGCACTGAGCCGGTAGATTGCGGAGCCGGGTGTTCCGACCGCAGCACATGCGGGTGAAGCAGCGAGACCGCATTTCCCGCACGTTTCATCAACGAGTCCGATGTGCCAGCTACTGACAAAACATTATATCTAAACCATTTCAGCAGCAGACGTCCATTGTTTTCCCCCGGCCCAGATGTCAGCTTCTGTTTCCCTGGGCTTCTGTAAGTCGGCGGCATGGCAGGCACATGTAAGATAAGAGTGGGATACAAGCAGACAACCGACCGAGCCGCACAGCCAGCTGTCTGGAGAAAATGCTAAACTGAGGCGGTCTTGACGTGTTATTGTCCATGGGGGTGTTGAAAAGCGTGGGGGCTGCCCCAGGTGTGTTCTGGTAGCATGCCCCACCCCTGCCAAAATGACGACCAGGCGTGGGACAGAAAACTTCTAACAGCCATGCGTTTTGGTAACTATATTATCAGTATACCAGTTATGGTAAACAGTCTTCAATTAACAACAAACAAACAAAAAAACACACATAAGACCGACGCAAACATTTGTTGCTATAATAGGATAAAAAAAAATTGCTGCCAACAGCCAAGTCAGGCTGTGTACTTTCATACTAGAGAAGCTTGTATTGTACGTGATGTACCTTAGTCAGGATGAATCTTTTAAATTAGGTTTGATGAAAAAGAGGTTTATCTGTTGTCAGCGGAGGGTGGCGCTCATCATGTTCCTAAGAACTATCCGAATGTTTTATGTAAAAGGTTATTATAATAATATTATTATTAATAATAATAATAATAGCAATAATATTCAATGGTATTGTAGTCTTCTCAAAATCTCAAGACTAAAGATTATTTTATCTCAAGCGGTTTGTTAAGGTCAAGTAAAATTAAAATCAGTCGAATATTCATGAAATTAGTTTTGATTAAAAGAAGCTTAGATAATTTTGAGAAATAACTGCGTTGTTATAACATTCATCAAAACAAAACAGTATTTTTTCCTAACAGGTAACATAAAAACAAAATTTATTAATTTCTTAAAAATCAAAAACAAACTATTGATATTGTTTTCTTTTGAGCGTTCGGTTTAACAAATAATACACAGACATCGCAGTTTGAATAGTTGACCAAATGGCACATTTTAACTCCGTCCTGTTCGTACTTACCTACACGACGCGTCCTTATCTAGCCTTTAAAATAATTTCCATTGTGTCAGAGACCCAAGCAGCGCACAACAGGTCCCGTCTTACCTTCCGCAGACTCCTCGGCGCTTTCGCTTTCTAAAGATGCGGCTGCATTAAAGAGAAAAGCCGGGGACGCGTCTTATCTGCCATCTTCGCTGCAGGATGCAGCCTCCATCCATCGGGGAAATGTTCGTCTGCTATGCTCGGCTTTCGAGCAAGGTGCACTACCGCCTTCCCTCTCTCCCACCCTCCCGTTTTCACGATCACAGATAGTAACAGTATTAACAGCACCGGGGGAACGAGTGTTTCGGCAGATTTTAAAGGGTTCATCCGCGCATAGAGCAGCCACCCTGTACATTTGCGTAGAATAAATACCAAGGAGATGTTTTCAAATGCGCTATGGAACATATTATGCTAATTTAGGCTACAATTCATTTTTGACCATTTATTTTAAGCGATTTCATGATATTTCATTCCTTTCCTTTTCATCAGTGCAGTGTGTAGTTTCGTCGTTCTATCGTGGCAATGAAGAAGCAGACTTTACTTACCAATTTGTCAAATGCTTATTCACACTTGCTTAATTTATTAACCGCGCACAGATGGAAAAGGTTCTTATAATGGAAAAGGCGATAGCTTGATACGTAGTAGGCTATTTACGCAGGTAGGCGACCTTAAAAGTCTTGGTTTACACATGCATACATGCATGCATGAATACACACACAAACACATATATACATATACATATATGACTGTATACAAAAGAAAACCGTGATGTATTCTTTTAAATATTAATATGTCATTGTCGCATGACAAAGGGAACAGTTGTACATCCCACTATTGTTGTCTTTGGAGCCTTGCATTATGATCGCTGTTATTGCTACGTGACTAGATTTAAGCCTAGATTTCATTCTGGAACCTTCCCCGTCTCAGTCCTCAAATCTCCATATTCACAATAAGCACTTATTGTCATCCCGTTAGTGTCACCAAAGCACAGGATAGTGGCGTGTCTCAGCTGTAAGAATGCGGGGCTCCTTCTTTCCCCAGGTCCCACAGCATCTCGCCCGGCTCATGCTGCCTCTGCTCAGATTTTAAAGGTATCTATCTGCTGACGGCATCCTACATACAATGGCTTCTGGAAATATCCATTTAGATGCGTGATTTAAAAGTCTTATCGCATACTGCAAGCCATGGCGACAAAGCGATGTTGAAATAGGCTCCATATCCAGATGAAAAAACAGGTCTCACGTGTGTAGAGGTCACATGTCCTGCTCTCTGAAGGCAGGTTTTAGCTGTATTTTGATCATGAATATATAGGCCTACAAAAAAAATTTTTCCCCGACGAAAAACTATTTTTTCCATCAAAAATGAACAGGGTACCGATAGACTGACAACTGCCTGCCAGATTAATGAAAAACGATTTTTTTTTCAGTTACAGGAGAAATATGTTATGAAAAAAGATAGTTTGTATAAAATTACATTGCACATTCATTGAAAGATACCTACATATGAGAACTCAAACCCAGGGGATCACTAACCTGTCTGCACTTTGATGAAATGTCTGTCAGAATCTGCCATGGACTTGCCGTTCAGCCCTGTACAAAGGTGTTATTAATTTAATCATGTAAGTGTTATGCCCAGCTCGTCCGATCCTCGTGTGTGCCACGCCCCCCTCGTTACCTCGTGTTAATTCCCAATTGTGATCACCTCTGTCCTGTTATTTCTGGCTAGTCTGGTGTATATTAGTCCGCGTCTTCCTCTCTTTCCCAGATCAGTCATTGTATTGTTTGATGTTCGTCGCCTGTCTGCCCTGAATAAACCCCGTATTTCAGTATTCACGGCTTTCTCGCCTACTTCCCCGTTCGCCGAAACGTAACAGTAAGGGTCTTCATGGTTTTATAACAACATCATAGAACACATGTGTGTGTTGGTTATGTTCTTATGTTTATAGGCATGCATATGTATGTATGCATTCAAGTTTTTGCACACGCTGAGATTTTCTGCATTTGCATGTTACATAACATTTATTAAAAATATCCTCAAGTCTTTGCTAACAAATAAATTTACAGTATGTTTATCTTTTGAGCACCTTTATTAGCAAGAAAATGTATTTGATTCATCAAAGTAACCTCCTCTTATATAGTGTTATAATGGCAGAGAAAACTTTATGCATTCTTTCTACAAAGGACATTAAATACTGCTCTGTTTCATGGGAAGAAACAGTTAACTAGCGCATTTAAAGTTAAAGGACAGTCTACAATTTGACTATGTGATCACCACACAACCAGTTAATATGGTGTCAGACATGCACTGTACATACTCTTTCCACATTATAAAGGAAAGTTCTTTTATTTGGTCCATTCCCTCACCCGGACTAGGGTCACCGGGGCCCCACCCTGGAGCCAGGCCTGGGGGAGGGGCCCATTGGCGAGCGCCTGGTGGCCGGGCCTTGGCCCGTGGGGTCCGGTCGGGCATAGCCCGAAAGAGGCATGCGGGACTGTCCCCAGGTGGGCCCACCACCCGCAAGGGGAATGTCAGGGGTTCAGTGCATTGTGGATCGGGTGGCGGCCAACAAAACTGGCTCTCGGGACATGGAATGTCACCTCTCTGGTGGGGAAGGAACCTGAGCTTGTGCGTGAGGTTGAGAAATATCGACTAGATATAGTCGGGCTCACCTCAACGCATAGCGTGGGTTCTGGAACCGATCTCCTGGAGAGGGGCTGGACGTTCATTTCTTCTGGAGTTGTGGCGGGTGAGCGACGCCGGGCTGGGGTGGGGCTATTGGTGGCCCCACAGCTCGGTGCTTTAACAATGGAGTTTACCCCGGTGAACGAGAGGGCTATTTCCCTGCGCCTTTGGGTCGGGGATAGGTCTCTGACTGTCATCTGTGCTTATGTGCCGAATGTCAGTTCAGAGTACCCGGCCTTCTTGGATTCCCTTAGTGGTATGTTGGTTAGCGTGCCACGAGGGGATTCCATCGTTTTGCTGGGGGACTTCAATGCTCACGTGGGCAATGACAGTGTGACCTGGAGGGGGGTGATTGGGAGGAACGGCCTCCCTGACCTGAACCCGAGTGGTGTTCTGTTATTGGACTTCTGTGCAATGCATGGTTTGTCCATAACGAACACCATGTTCGAGCATAAGGGTGTCCATAAGTGGACATGGTACGAACATGCCCGGGGCTACAGGTCGATGATCGATTTTATAATCATATCATCTGACCTGTGGCCTTCCGTCTTGGACACTCGGGTAAAGAGAGGGGCAGAGCTGTCAACTGATCACCACCTGGTGGTGAGTTGGCTCAGGTGGCGGGGGAGGAAGCTGGTCAGACCTGGTAGGCCCAAACATGTAGTGAGGGTCTGCTGGGAACGTCTGGCAGAGGCTCCTGTCCGCCGGAGCTTTAACTCACACCTCCGGCTGAATTCCAACTGCATACCAGGGGAGGTCGGGGACATTGAGTCTGAATGGACACTGTTCCGGACCTCCATTGTGGAAGCGGCCGTACGGAGTTGTGGCTGCAGGGTGGTCGGTGCCAGTCGTGGCAGTAACCCCCGTACCCCATGGTGGACACCAGAAGTGAGGGGGGCCGTCAAGCTGAAGAAGGAGGCCTACCAGGAATTATTAGTCCAGGGGTCTCCAGAGGCAGCAGACTGGTACCGGCAGGCCAAGCGGAACGCGGCTTGGATGGTCGCTGAAGCAAAAACCCGGGCGTGGGAGGAGTTCGGTGAGACCATGGAAAGTGACTTTCGGTCGGCCTCAAAAAGGTTCTGGCAAACCATCCGGAATATCAGGAGGGGGAAGCAGCTCCTGGTTCCTACTATTTATAGTGGGGGGGGGGGTGCTGTTGACCTCACTTGGGGACATCACCCGGAGGTGGAAGGAATACTTTGAGGACCTCCTCAACCCTGCTTCAGATACATCTGCGCAAACTGCCTTTGAGACATCTGAGGGCACAGAGCCCGAGGGTGCTGGAGGGGGCTTGTCCATCACTGGGGCTGAGGTGGCAAGGGTGGTTGAAGAGCTACGTGGTGGCCGGGCCCCGGGGGTGGACGAGATCCGCCCGGAGTACCTGAAGGCTCTCGATGTTGTGGGGCTGTCGTGGCTGACACGCCTTCTCAACAGTGCATGGAGGTCAGGGACAGTGCCGCTGGATTGGCAGACCGGGGTGGTGGTCCCCTTATTTAAGAAGGGGGACCGGAGGGTGTGTTCCAACTATAGGGGGATCACACTTCTCCGCCTCCCTGGGAAGGTCTATGCCAAGGTACTGGAGAGGAGGGTGAGATCGATAGTCGATTCTCGGATTCAGGAGGAACAATGTGGTTTTCGTCCTGGCCGTGGAACACTGGACCAACTTTATACCCTCGCAAGGGTACTAGAGGGGGCCTGGGAGTTTGCCTATCCAGTCTACATGTGTTTTGTGGATTTGGAAAAGGCTTACGACCGGGTACCCCGGAGTGCTCTGTGGGGGGTGCTTCGGGAGTATGGGGTCCGGGGTCCACTGTTGTGGGCCATTCGGTCCCTGTATGAACGGGGCAGAAGCTTGGTCCGCATTGTCGGTTATAAGTCGGACATGTTCCCAGTGCGGGTTGGGCTCCGCCAGGGCTGCCCTTTGTCATCGATCCTGTTTATAATATTTATGGACAGGATTTCTAGGTGCAGTCAGGGTGTTGAGGGTGTCCAGTTCGGTGGCCTCAGGATTGCCTCACTGCTTTTTGCAGATGATGTCGTCCTGTTGGCTTCATCTGCTGGGGATCTCCAGCAGGCTCTGGGGCGGTTCACAGCCGAGTGTGAAGCGGCGGGGATGAGGATTAGCACCTCCAATTCCGAGACCATGGTTCTCAGCCGGAAACGGGTGGATTGCCCTATTCAGGTCAGGGAAGATGTACTGCCTCAAGTGGAGGAGTTCAAGTATCTCGGGGTCTTGTTCACAAGTGAGGGTTGGCGAGATCGGGAGCTGGATAGACGAATCGGAGCGGCGTCTACAGTTTTGCAGGCGCTTAACCGGTTCGTCGTGTCTAAGAAAGAACTGAGCCAAAAAACAAAGCTCTCGATCTATTGGTCCATCTACGTTCCTACTCTCACCTATGGTCATGGGCTATGGGTTTATGACCGAAAGAATGAAATTGCGAATACAGGTGGCCGAAATGAGGTTTCTCTGCAGGGTGTCTGGGCGCTCCCTTAGGGATAGGGTTAGAAGTTTGGATATCCGGGAGAGCCTCAGAGTAGAACTGCTGCTTCTCCACGTCGAAAGGAGCCAGTTGA